ATAAAAATTCTCCTGATCACTAAAGGCTCCATAAAAAACTCCACAACGGTACCTACCACAAGTACGCTTCTCCAGAACAGAATCCAGTACTCACCTCTTTCAACGATTTATTGCCGACCATCTCTATGAGTAAGTGTTTATACAGATGTGCATTCTATTCCTCAGTCTTTAAGGGGGATTTTTGCACAGCCGTTTGGAGGATATTTTCCCTACGTATATATATTTTTTTTTGTTGAATTTCTCAACGTATATCTGTGATTAAGTTGCTCTTACGTTTGCGGTTTGTTTCAATGTTTATGTACATGATATATATTCTCACCTTTTTTCCTGAAAGGGTGAATATGTGATACATATATTATGAAACATAACATCACGACTTTTATCCCCGAAGGGGTAGGCAGAGGTGCACACAGAAGTAACACCCACTTTTCACTATTTATGTTATGAGTCCCATGTAATAGGGGGTGAGCCTATTGCTATATACCGAGCAAATTTGCAGACTCCGTGCTACTATTGAGATTTTTTTTTAAACCCAGTAATGCTTTGCCCGTCCTGGGAATCGATCCCGAGACCCCTTGCCCGGCACTTGCGACCACTCGGCCAACGAGGCATATTATGAAATATTGGATGAAATATAAAATTTATTTTCCGAAAAATTGGTTTTGGGCGTTCACTTTAGTATATATTGAGCCGTTTGGCATGGTGGTGGCATGTTTTGTATTATTCATTAGCTTCAAGAAAACACTTAACCGCTTTTATCTAAATTGCTATAGCTGTTTCCGTGACTGTCACTACAAATGCAGACTCAAATATCAATAAAATAAGATATCTAAAAGATAGACTTTTAAATGAACAATTTAGATTCAAACTCCAGTAAATCAAATCGTGGTTGAATTTTGGCCAGTTTCCAGCGACCTACTACTCCGTCCAATTGCTTTTAAAAACTTGCTCTTTTAAAAATGGTCCAGTTTTTAAAAATGTGTCAAGCTGCAACGCAACCTTTCTGACACACATCTTTGGGAGTGATGCTCTTGTGCATTTGTTTATTCTCGTTTATTTTTCTTCGTGTAGTTTTTTGTTAAAGTTATGTACTACTTCGTCTCGGTTCGTACCTTTAAACATAACATAACATCACCCTTTTATCCCCGAAGTGGTAGGCAGAGGTGCACATTATGCCACTACAATGTTACACCCACTTTTCATTATTTATGTTACGAGTGCCATGTAATAGAGGGTGAACCTATTGCCATATACCGGGCACAATTCCAGACTCCGTGCTACTACTGAGATTTTTTTTAAAAACCCTGCAATACTTTGCCCGACCCGGGAATCGAACCCGAGACCCCTTGCCCGGTCGCACTTGCAATGACTCGGCCAACGAGGCAGTAATTAAAACATCAAAGGATAATTTGTGATTTCTAAATTAACGTACCTCTGTTCAATTGTTCTCTCATGACTGAGGATCGTCATCATCCTGGCATAACTCTGGATAGGACGAATTGTCTCCACTGGCTCTTGTCATTCGCATTGTAGTGTAGAACCTCGATGCTGGGTTGTCTTTGAGCTGGTCAGACCATCTAGTTGGGGATTATTCCCTTGCCTTTCTCTTTTCTACATTTCCCACGACAATTAGCTTCTACAAGCTATTCTCTCCGCGTCTTACTTGTCCAGAATAGGTTATGATCCGGCGAAGGCACAAATTGGAGAGGCGGTCTGTGATTTTAAGTTGCGATAATTTTGTGATATTAGTTCGCTTGGCTGTCCATGGTATGCACAGCATTCGTCGCAAACACCACACCTCAAATGCATCTATTCTCTATATTATGTACTAATACTAATTAATGTAATCAATACATAGTATAAAACAAAGTCGCTTTCGCTGTATGTCCGTATGTATGCTTAGATCTTTAAAACTACGCAACGGATTTTGATGCCGTTTTTTTTAATAGATAGAGTGATTCTTAAGGAAGGTTTGTATGTATAATACATGCATATTGCACCCGTGCGAAGCCGGGGCGGGTCGCTAGTTATGGATAAAACATAGCACAGAATGTGAAAAAGATATAGAAATACAAAACGGATACAGGCCTAAATCAAAACCAGGTTTTGAATAAGAGTTTTATATTTTGTGAAGGATAAATAAATACGTATTTCTGATTTAGGAAGTTTTCTATCTTATCTTATACTATTATATAAAGCGGAAAAGTTTGTTTTTTGTTTGAACGCGCTCATCTCCGTAACTACAAGTCTGATTTGAATAATTCTTTTTGTGTTGGATAGCGCATTTATAGAGGATGGCTATAGGCTATAAAACATCACGCTACAACCAATAGGAGCTGAGCAGAGCGTGTGAAACCGCGCGCAAGTAGCTAGTCGTATTATAGAAACTGAGTAGCCAGTCTTGGGTCAAGCTTCCAATTTGTTAAGGCATTTGTACCACAACTGCGACAAAATTGAACGTCGTTAATTTTAGACATTTACTCCCAAATAATTCAATCAGATTCATACAGCCAACCAAAATACAAGAATTTCTTTTAACGTTAACGGGATCCAAGCTCAAACGAAGACGTCTCCATCAATTTAATTTGTTCAGCAAATAAGATTTGGCAGTACGACTTGGCAACTGTTAGGCTTGACGCTAACAGTTCCTTACATATCTACACAAATGGTCCAATTGGCTGGTAGGCACATTTTGTCTTGGACTGGTAATGATTCAGGATTTATGGGCTTCTTTAGCGTCTGTTGTTAGTAAGGTTTAGTTTTTGCTGGCAAGAACGTTAGGTTTTATTTTGTTTAATCAATGGTTCTATCACATACAGAAAATACAAAATAGACTTTTTTATGACATAAGCCGGTAAACGAGCAGGCGGATCACCTGATGGTAAGCAATAGGAGTCGCCCTTGGATACCTGGAGCACCGGAGGCGTTACAAGTACGTTACCGGCTTTTTGGGGATTAGGAGTTTGAGGATCGTTGGGGATTCAGGAATTGGGAAGATTGGGGAAGTGGAGGGTAACTGGGCCTCCGGTAACCTCACTCACACGACGAAATACAACGCAAGCGTTACTTCACGTTAGTTTTCTGCTCGGCCGTGGTATCACTCCGGTCGAGCCAGCCCATTCGTGCCGAAACATGGCTCTCACACACTTGAATATTTTTGTAATTTCTATCGATTTCACTATTCATATGCTTAATTAAAATAGACATCTGAAACGGTGTGTGATTGTAAATCTTTAGTTTTGTAACTGGATCTATTTGGATTTAAAATGCGTAACTTTTTAATTATATATACAATTAATATTAACTATAACTTAATGAAAATCATCTATTTGGATGGTTTAGATTTTAACATTCTCATTAACTCACGGAGGTTTTAATTGTATTGTTGTCCAGTCCATGTTTATATTTAGAAAGTGTCCTTTAGTACGTGATGGGACTAACAACATATCAATCAATGAATTAATGTACTGATGAGAGACGCTAAAGGCCTGATTTGATCAATCTCTTCAAAACACCTTTATCACCATCTTATTGATTCAGTAAAGAAGACCTTCACTTTAACCTTGAAAGAAAAACAAGTCGAATTAGTACAAAAACAATGTTTATTAGCCGAGGCAGTTTTTCAATAACAATCATAGCAGTTGTCAATACGTTTATTTTTAATAAAATCAACAAACTAAGGTGGATTAGCTATTTGTTGCGAGTTGTTTACGTCTATTATAAAATGTTTTGGTTCAATCGACAACTTTTGTTTTTGTTTAGCATTGTTTGTCGAGTCTGTTGTCAGCTCGATTTCAAAGGAGCCATTTTGATTTTCGTCTTTTATTAATTAAAAAGCTTATAGAATGGCTCCCGGCGTATTGTTTTCGTTAAATAACTGGTTTATGTTTTCCTTATTGTCTTGTTAAAAGCATTCAAAGAAATGATGGTTGCTAAAGGTATGTTTTTCCACGCGTGTCATGACAATTTGTGGAACAAAGTACTTTGTGATTTTTTTTGCTTTCTGCCTTTTCTTGTTTGAGGTAGAGGAAATGTAGTAGCTATTATTGTGGATCTATTCTATTGTTTACTGAGGGTAAATATAATTGAAGTGTATCGTTAGTTGATTGGATGTCATTTTTCGATACCAGAGTTTGAAAAAAATATTCAATTGATTTATAATAATAATAATAATAAATCATTTATTTAAAGTAACCAGGACTCACAAAATGTTAGTAAAACTTACATCTATGTTAGTATGTAATCATAATTGTTTTATAGTGCAATAAAAGATTTTATTAGAGAATTTATTCTTAAGCAATATTAAACTGTGTAATGGTAAGTATATTACTTACCTGCCTATCTCTTTGACTACATTTAGGTGTTACATTGTTCTCACACAATTGAACCAACAAAACTATGTAACTAGAGAAATGTATTGCAAACCCGATTGAAAAAGAGTAACCTATGGAGTTTCTTGCTCGTTCTTCTCCATAGGAATCTACACCTTGGAATGAGCAACTAGCATCACTTCTAAATTTTTTTGTTGTTGACGTTCAAAAGTGCCTTCCTGGTCTAATTGAAATAAATGATTTTGACTTTGACTACCATTATGTCTTAAGACATTGTGGTAATAAGATATTTAGATTCGTTTTACAATTGATGCTACACCAAGATATATGGTTATTTAAGCCATATGGTAACAGCAAAGTAGAAAATTTATTTCCTATCTTTCCGGGGGTGTGTCGTAAAGTGACTAAAGTATTACACATTTATAAGAGACTATCTAGCGGTGCATTTAAAATAAACTGAATAGGATACGTTTGTACATAATGTGAAGACTTCCTTCTTAGGTATGTGAAGAAGTCCATATATCAAGCGCACTTTATCATGAGGTATTTTCAGCCTTTGACTGCCATCAAAAAACTATTGAATGCAAATCCTCCGCAAAACACCGGTCTTCGGTGTCCTAGAGAAGCAGTTAACGTGTGAATTGAAACTAACTTCTCTCTTCTCCCCAGGTACCACAACAGCAGAATGATAAACTACGACGTGGAACGAGGTATCAACGTCACCACAGACCCGGTACAGAGACTATCAGATCTGCTGATACCCGCAGCCAGCGTGTCGCATGCAGGGAACTACACCTGTGTGCCAAACAACGCTGTTCCAGCTAGTATATACGTCCATATTTTTAATGGTGAGTATTTTTCATGTCATCATCATCTACAGCCTATAAATGCCCACTGCTGAGTAAAGCCTGTTCTCACACGGAGAAGGTTTGAGTATTAATCACCACGCTTGCTCAATGCGGGTTGGCGATTTCAAACTTATAATTAGAAATTATAAGTCCAGGTTTCCTCACGATGTTTTTCCTTCACCGTTTGTCAGTGGTGTCTAAATAATCTTAGAAAGTACATATAACTCGGAAAAAGTCACATTGGTACTTGTCGTTGGTAGGTTTCGAACCCGCACCCTCATACATGAGAATCGGGCGTCTTAAACCTCCGAGCTACTACGACACTTTATTTTCACGACCACGACATTTTTCATGTATTTTTATAATAAGTAACGTCAAACGTTAATTTACATTACCAATTCATGATAGATGTCCCACCCTCACGCATCAAGCTTCCTTGTGCGTACTGCTAAGGAGTGGAAGTCCTTACCAGAGTCTGTATTTCCTGAAGGGATGTTTGACCTGGATATCTTCAAGGCTCGAGTGAATAGGTTGCTTATGGGACGACCCATCATTGATTACCACCAGGCAGGTCAAACGTCAGCCCATCAAATATATATAAAAAAAACTCTCTTGTTTAGAGATCAGCGACGATGTGACTAACAATAAAGAAACTTGCTTCCCTATAAGTTAATTAACTACTTGGAAATTGAAAATAACCAGAACCACATAGACAAACTCTGGCAAGGAATTACTCATCTGTAGTTCTTTTAAACAATCTTGAGGCGGAATTCTTTGTAAGAGTAATTAAAATGTCTACAACAAAGTAGTGGCGTTTTGCCATTTATCTTGAGCTATAGTTTGACAGTTTTCATTGCATGTCCATACCAAGACATAAGATTATCCTTCCAATTTTCTATATCTGGCACTACTGTCAGAGTTCCTCTGCCATGCCCTATTCTTAACTCGTCGAGTACCGTCATTATAGACACAATTATAGAACAATAGGTTGCGGTCACCGGTGACCGCTTGGTGTTTGACAGTTTAAAATCTCATAATAATATCCTTGTTTTATAATAACTATCGTGAGACATACTAAATTAACTAAAATCGTGAGTTACTTACGTGAATATACTGAGAAAAGCTCTACTAGTTTCGAACCACAGATGGGTTCTTCCTCATGAGCAGTTATAATAATATCCTTTTTAGCGTTATCGTCTCTGTTTAACAGAAGACTAAAGTCTACCATCATAAATAAATACCTACCCATTATTTCATGGAATAACATAGCACCATATAATGATTCTAAGTTAAAACAATCAAGAAGTTTTACATGTTTGAAGTGAGGTACCTACTTCGTTGTAACAAACACAATATCAGTGACCTAGAAAACTTGTCCCCGGTCTGTTGTAAACAAACATACATATGTTGGACATACATAACATGAGGCTTGTTATTCTGGACTACATACAACTATGCGTAGACTCGGTAGTTCAAACGAGAATTCGTAAATCAGATATAATAGTATTTTACTTTTTTTGTTGAGGGGAAAAAAGCTTAATTTTCTTCTCTCACATAGAGTGACGTGAGAGGAAGTATCAGACTCTTAATTGGTGTCTAAATAACCTTAGAAAGTACATACATAAGTGTGGGAGAGCCATGCTTCGGCACGAATGTGTCGGCTCGACCGGAGTGCTACCACGGTCTCACAGAAAACCGACGTGAAACAACGCTTGCGTTGTGTTTCATCGTGTGAATGAGGTTACCGAAGGTCCAATTACCCCATTCCCTAGTCCCCGTCTCCCGAATTCCCGAATCCTCCACAATCTTCAAATTCCCAATTCCCAAAAGGCCGATAACGCACTTGTAACGCCTCGGTGTTTCGAGTATCTGCTCACCATCAGGTGATCCGTTTGCTCGCTTACCGGCTTATGCTATAAAAAAAAATACATATAATTTGAAAAAGTCACATTGGTACTTTATCGTTGGTGCGTTTTGAAACCGCGCTGTGTCCTCATGCATGAGAAGCGGACGTCTTATACCTCTGGGCCACCATGACATTATTTTGACATAACGTTGTTTCTCAATCACTCAATCACTATATCCAGAAATATTTTTACAACATTCGAGCAATGTTACAATGGTTCTTTAATTTACAACTATACAATATACTAGTTTCCCAAACAATCTAGATTCTTGATTCAGAAGGACACTTTACTTGCAATTTCTTTTATATTCCCTGGCCTAGTGCCAAGTTTGCTTGAGTTTTTACCATTTTTTGCTCTTTTTCATCTCCTCAAATATTGCTTTATTGGCTCTTAACGTTTCTTACTTGCGAAAGTTATATTAAACAGGCTGGGCTAATATTTTTCGCTTTATTTATTACTGGCTGACCCGGTAAACTGTAGTAGAGAATTGTTCAATATTTTATTGAAGGCAAAAAATAGTTTAATTTACAAATAACAACGTCGCACATTTTATCCCCGAAGGAGAAGTCAGGGGTCCACATTACGGCACTCAATGCCACTGTACAATGTAACACTCACTTTTCTATATTATATTATGAGTCCTAAGTAATAGTATTACCAGTGCTTAGCTGATCTATTGAAACTTCTTCGAGATCTTATCTCCAAGCTTTTCTGAGAGACAAGACATGATTTTTCATTATTTCATTATTCTCTATTAAATGTTATCACATCACAAACTCCGTTTACTTTTAATGGGAATAAGGACATCTATTACTCTTTCGTCATCTTATTTGAGGAATATTCCGGAACAATAGTCTTTTTTCTACACAGACATATCATCATAAGTACTCATATGGATATAAAAGGAATATAAAAGTAAAAATATCTCGAAAGACAAACTTGAAACAAAATAAAACGGATCGTCCAAAATTCTCATTACATACAGCTACGGCAACGATCCAACGAAATAAGGTGAAAAAATCCAGGGACCGTTTCGTCGCCTATAAAAATAACCTTCGCGAATAAATTGTAATACTCGCCGACTAATTTGAGTAGGGTCGCCAAAATATAGTATAATATTATATTACATTATATAAGAAAGGTCAAATATTTCGTGCCTGCTTCATTGGGCCCAAGGTCAACTGCCGAGAGTCTACTTTGATCACTGGGTTGACAAAAGTAATATTAAATTTTTGAGATACGTCTGATGTATGGCAATAGGCCTTTCTGAGACTCAAACCATAATTTACTAGAAAATATGGATAGATTGTGTGAAGAATGATATGAAAAGAGTTTGTGAGAGGATGACGTCTGATACGAGGGAATGGAAGGGAAGAAAGACGAATATTGTGCCAACCTCAAATAGTCTGGGATAAGGATGATCATTAATTATTATAAGTGTTTCTTAGTGTAAAGTGCTACTTAACATGTAGTTATAAAGGTAATCCCTCCCTCACCCCTCCCATAAACTTACTCTCTATTATAAGGGACTCATAACTTAACAAGTAAAAAGTGAATGCTACAGTGATAACTGCATTTTGCCTACCCCTTTAAGCTTCAGTAGGTACAATACAAAAAATATACAAAAATATACAATACAAAAATACAATACAACACTTTAAAATACAATTTCCTAATATAAGGAAGTATTTCAGCCAGTTATACTTAAAGGAACAATTCAATTTTGTAATATTATACGCTATGGAAGTGGGTTGACATAATTTTGCCGTATAATATACTCGTAATATGTTACCGATGATTATCCCCGAACTCGGGGTGACATTTTTGTTTGTCGAACATAATTTACGCAATTGTGTAAATCTAAATATAATATGAATGGAATAGAATAAATTTATTGTAAAAAACATGAGTATGCAATAAATATCTTAAAATATTTATGTTAGTAGCTTTTACCCGCGGCTTCGCTGACATCATAAAAGGATAAAAAGTAGCCTATGTGACATATACCAATACACAAAGCGCCATCTATATCAATAATTTTGTTTTCCCTCGGGAATATCAAATTTTTCTGGGATAAAAAGTACCCTATTATTCAATCCGGACTTCTAACTTCTAACAGACGTAAGTCTGCAAAAATTCAAAGCAATCGGTTTAGTAGTTACGGCGTGAAAGCGGAACAAACAAACAAACTCACTTTCCGATTTATAATAATAATATTATATAGTAAGAATTAAATTTTTTTTATTAAATTAGCCGGTAAACAAGCAAACTGAAAACCTGATGGTAAGCAATCGGTGTTGCCCATGGACTCCCGAAACACCAGAGGTATTACAATTGCGTTACCGGTCTTTTCAGGATTAGGAATTTGAGGATCATTGGGGATTCGTGGATAAGGGGTTTTGTCTTGCACACATTAAAATCATAGAACAAAAGTCACCAACACTGACGTTTACAATAATAAAATAATGATTTAGGACGGTTTAAAGCCTACCCTTATGGCAGACATGTGAGATTATGTATTTTTTTTGGGACAAGCCCGCCACAATTTCCTAAAACCGCTACAACTCCTGTAACCCAGGATCTACAATAGATCCAACCAAGAAAATACCAGAACACTGAAGTCCGGTGCGTCTCAGAGACATGAATCAAAAATCTTGGTTCCAGCAAAGAAATGAATAAGAAGATATTATAAGAGAAGAAATAAATGATAATCTCCACTTTTCTCGGTGAATAACTACAAGAGACAGAATGAATTAGGCTTAAGGGCACAAAAAGGAGGTACAATTGGGAGAAACCCAGTCACCAAGCACCACGAAAATTTGACTAAAAATACGCAATTTAAATTTAACACTATAGATACTATCTAATACTAATATGTAGTTTTAGACCAATAAAGCACACATTTTACCGTTAGGCATAGACAACATTTTGATTGATCGCTTCATTTTAATATAACAAAATACGTAAATAACGAAGACAATATGTACCCCAACCGCCCATCAGTCTAAACCTAGGTCAGTCAACCCCTACTCAACCAACAAAAAGCCTTTTAGCCAACACTAAGTTCAAGGATTCAAAGGAAAAATATCGGAA